GATTCATTAGAGGTCGGTAGTAGAATTACAGAAAATTCTTGCACTTTAACATTTCCTGATATTTGTGCTCTCATATTTGTGTTTTTTTTTTTATTTATTTAGTTTTACAAAATATATTTATTAAATAACATCCGACAGTTTAAATAAAAAAACGACATAAAAGGTAACTTGACTATTTGTGCATGTTGCCATATGGGTGATTTCTTCAAGCGGGCATTAATTTTATCCGCTGGTGTTGATTTCGGAATGACAGGTAGCGTTTGACGAATATCATCTGACACTATTAACAACGCATCTTTTATTAAGCTTGTATTAATTACCACGTAGATCTTTGAGTGTTCTTATTAGTGCTTCTAAAGACTTTCGGTAAACCATTGTGCTTTCGCCCCATAAGATGGCTTTGCACTGTTTCAATAATTGGCAGCGTGCAGATGATTTCGTAATGTCACAGTCCGCCATTCATTAGTGTAGTGCAGTGATTCCCAAAGTGGTCTATATCGACCCCTAGGGGTCTATGACAACCTGCAAGGGGTCTACGTCAGCGAAAAAAAATTTCTATACAACTGGACGAGTCAACTTTACCTGATAATGCAGCATTATTATTGGCATATGTTCGTTTTATTATGAATCAAGAAATCTACGAAAAACTGCTCTTCGCAAGAACTTTGATAACCGACACTAAAGGTGAATCAATATTTCATGTTTTGAAGGATTACTTCATTGAAAAAGCAATTCCTTTATCAAATATAATATTAGTAGCTACAGATGGAGCACTTGCCATGGTTGGACGTGGATCGTGGATTTATAAGTTATTTAAAACAAAATGTGTCAGGGGTGTTAGCAATACATTGCGTCATCCATCGACAACATTTAGTTGTTAAAATTTTGAGTGTTAGATTGCATGAATCACTTCATTTAGTCATTGATGCAGTAAACCGAATCCGAAGCAACGCGTTGAATATAGAGTTATTTGCGCAGTTGTATAAAGAAAATGACGAACATATTCATCAATTACTCCTTCACACTGAAGTACGCTGGCTGTCGAAAGGCTTATGTTTGACAAGATTTTTTGAACTTTTTGAGACTATTTTAGAATTTCTGGATACTAAAGAAAAATTTTAAAAGAAAATTTAATGAAGAGGAAAACAGACATCGCCTATTTAACAGATTTGTTTACAAAATTTAATATGGTTAATTTGCAATTAATTACAAGGCGACAGTTTAAATTTGATTAAAACAAAGTCCATCTTATCAGCGTTTCTTGCCAGAGTTAAACTAATGAAGAAAAATATTGGACGGGGCAAATTTTCTCAGTTCCCCAATTTGTCACAAACAAGCTGCCAGGAAGACGACGTTTCAACTTACGTTCAACATTTAAATGCCCTCTATTCAGATTTTGAATCTAGGTTTGAGGATATTTTGACTAGTGTAATACCACCGTGGATAATTAATCCATATGGTGACATAGAAGAAACATGATGAAAATACAAGAGGAACTGACTGAACTAAGTACAAACGAAGAACTTAAGGTTCAGTTTAAAAACGGATATCAGCAATTCTGGCTGCAAAACAACATACCCGTTGCATATCCCGTATTATGGAACATAGCGAGGAAATTTTTAATTTCCTTTCCATCGTCATACCTAGTGGAAAGGGGGTTCAGCGCTGTTACCAAATCTCCTAACGAAAAAAAGAAACAGGCTGGACATCATCAGCCGAGGAGATTTAAGATTAACCCTTACAAAATTGACGCCAAATGTTGATAATTTATTATTAAAGCATCAGGTTCATCCTTCTCACTAAAAATATTATTGAGTTATTGCTTATGTTATTTTATTTATAGTTTATTTTATGTTTATTTAATGCTACTGTTCGCGGCGGCCGAACAACGTTAAGAAACAAAGTTATAAAGAATATAGTTTTTTGTATTAATAATGAAATTACTGACAAAACGGTAAAAACGTGTATTAATATAGTTGTTTAGAATGCTTATAACTCTTAGTATATTTGTATAGAATGTCGTTATGATAACAAGTGATATAAACAACTTTTATTATATTAAGAAAAATCGACCAATCACAGCGCGTCTCATCGTAGAACTCTAGAAGTTTTTAATTAACTGCGTAATAGTTCATACTAAAAATAATGAAAATAATTTTATGTTCTAAAAGAGTCATAAATATGACATTGAATTAGCATAAGGCTTATAGATTACAGAAGTGTAGGAATATTTTGTATAATTAAACGCATTTGATATGTGCCGGACGGGCGAAACTCTCCGGAGTAAATGTTGTCGAAGATATTTCGCGAGTCGCTCACGTCCTACACCTATAGGTTCCGGTGGGTACTTTCACTGCCGTCTTTGTGGTTGCCGCCGAAATATTGTGGACTGAGATTGAAATCAAAATGCACGATTAATAAATACAAATAGCAAGGTAGTGGCCAGCGGTTCGACTGATTAATTAGTCGCGAAATATTATAACTATTGACCACGGTTGAACTACGGTTGTTCACTATTGGTTGGTCACTGTATATTTCAAAAGATTTCTTTAAATTGTATGGTGGTATTAAATATCTATTGGTAGTAGCTGGTTTTCTAACACTACTGTCTAGCAGCTATTATCAACTAAACTAGCTGATTTTATCACTTGTGTAACTGCGGATATCACTTACCACATCGTTAGACTTTTCGGTTGTGGCGACTTTTCGGCTAGCTACCTTTCCTATGTGTTGCGAGTATCTGACCTTTTTCGTCTAATTTCCTATGTGATGACTTTTTCGTAGTAAACTTTCATAGTGTAACTGCGAATATCGTTACGACCTTTTTCGGCTAGCTAACACTTTCACTATGTGTAACTGCGAATATCAGTTACGACCTTTTTCGGCTAGCTAACACTTTCACTATTCACTATATACTGCTACTAGTCACTTCAGCTACCACCGGATACCACTCACTTCACTTCACTTGTCACTGGTAGTTCTTCACACTACTACGGGTACTGGGTCCCGAGCCCCTAAGGTAGACTTTAGCAATAATTTACTGTGAGCCGCTTGCCATTTTCCGTTTTGCCTCTTTATTGCATAAATTTTTCACTATACAAATGGCATAAATTGCCATATTCTCTATACAAAAGTAATTGCTACACTAACATGCTATACATCATTAAATCGGTCGTCTGGTACTTTATTAGTATATCATAAAGGTTACTAAAAACATTAACATTGTAAAAAAGTTATTAAACGAAATGTCCCAAATTTTCATAATATTTGGGTACATTAATTCTTTATTTTTCATATAACTATCAAATGCGTTTAATTATACAAAATATTCCTACACTTCTTTAATCTATAAGCCATATGTTTATTCAATGTCATATTTATAACTCTTTTAGAACATAAAATTATTTTCATTATTTTTAGTATGAACTATTACGCAGTTAATTAAAAAACTTCTAGAGAGTTCTACGATAAGACGCGCTGTGATTGGTCGATTTTTCTTAATATAATAAAAGTTGTTTACATTACTTGTTATCAAAACGACATTCTATACAAATATATTAAGAGTTATAAATATGCTAAATAACTATATTAATACACGTTTTCACCGTTTTGTCAGTAATTTCATTATTAATACAAAAAACAATATTCTTTATAACTTTGTTTCTTAAAGTTGTTAGGCCGTCGCCAACATCTCTCCCGCCGTGCAGCGTCGCGACGATTTTCTCACAGCGGCGCTGCCTCCATTTCGGTGAGCGACGTTGCTTCTACTTCGGCAGCGGCACGAGTTTCCTGGTTGGCCTCTTGATTAGGCCGTTTGCTGTGCGTACCTCCACAGTGCGGATCTGTCCGTCCGCACCGGGGTAAACACCTTCCACCCTCCCTCGTGGCCAGGTGCTACGAGGTAACTGGCCGTCAGCTATGAGGACTGGATCACCCACCTGGAGATTGGGACCTCGCCCATGGGCCTCCCGCCGGTTTTGAAGTTCCGGTAAATACTCTCGGACCCAACGCTGCCAGAACATGTCAGCGAGTATCTGGGAGCGTCGCCAGTATCTTTTGCTATTCATCCTTTTATATGGGTGAGATCCTTCTAAGAGGAAGTGATTTGGAGTGATGGATTCGTCGTCGTCGCTGTCTACAGAGATGTGAGTCAATGGTCTGCTATTTACTGTGTACTCCACCTCGCAGAGCAGCGTGGCTAATACTTCCTCATGCGGATGTCTCTCATGAAGGACGGTGTATAGTGCCGTCTTCACGCACCGTATGAGACGTTCTCTCTTGGTTGGTGTTTCATGCAGCAAATTGATTGGAAGTCGAGCGAGCTTTAGGTTGAAGCTCAGCTGTTCGGTACCCTGTTTCCAGATTAATCCGAGTATCTTTTCCTCGGTTCCTTTGTTTCCCAGATCGACTGACTCAGATGCTTCTTGGTCAGGTTCTAATTCTTTTACAACTTCTGGTACGTTGGAAACCCATTTTCTTAAGGTGAAGTGCGCGTTTTTGTGTATGTCGCGTACTTCCTTCGATATTCGCATTGCCTCTTCCAGAGACTGGAAACTGTCGAGATAGTCATTCATATAGTGGTTTTGAATGATAGCTTCTACGGCGTTTGTATACTTGTCTATGTGTTTTTTAGCGTTCCAGTTCTTCGCAAATATGGCTGTGCAGGGTGAACTGGTTGCACCGAAAATGATCGACGTCATTCTATATTCTTGGGGAGCTTCAATTCGTTGATCCCCTCTCCAGAGATATCTTAACACTTTAACAGCCGACCGTTATAAAGGTGGCCGTTCCTGGTACGCCGGTGATTTTTGCCGATATTCTATGACTCATAAAATAAAAACTATTTGTGATATGTATATTATTCTTCTTTTATATGTACTATTGTTCTTTATATTTTAAAGGAAGAAGTAAAAAACATTAAAAATAATGAAAAATATTTATGAAAAAAAATTAACAAAAGAGGTCTACAAGCGAAAAAAAAAACTCCAACATAAACATTCTTACATACTTGAGCTAACTAAAGAACGTAATTTTTTTGTGTGTGGAACATTTTGAAGCAGGGATAGTAGCACAAAGGAACATTGCAGTCTGGGCAGTAATAAATGGTCTCTTTGCGCCCCCCTTTTTCCGGTTTCTTTTTTTGAAATGTCGGCACACACTTTGCAAACTCGTGCGACTTTCTCCTTTTTTTCCGAGCTTGGAATCCTCTCTATGAAGTGCCTACCGACGAGCCTCGTGCTTGTCCCGACAGCATGTGGACCATGGGAGGGTCCTGCTTCAGCATCTGATGCAGTTTCCACCAGTTGTTCCCCAGAGTCCATCAGAAACTGCGAGAATCGCAGGCGGCGTCGTTGTTCTCTGGATTTATTGTACAAAATGTAAGCGTTTACCAGAGAACGCGCTACTAAATTAAAAAACATTTTTTTCCACCATTTCATACTTTTCCTATTCAACGAATAATAGGATACATATTGGTCATTGAGATCTACGCCAATTTTGTAGTGGTTATAGTCGAGGATGCAGTCTGGTTTCACCTTTTTGGTTACGCCCACACCTTTGGCTTTTGTATCCACCTCTGTCCAGCTAGCTCCGTGTTTCGTCGTGAGCATAAGTACATCACGCTTATCTTTCCATTTACAGGCAGTTAGATTGCCGCGGTGACAAAAAGCCATTTCAGCTTTTTCCAACGGTTGTTGTCGCCAAACCTGTGGCAGACCACGACGATTCGCCATCACTGTGCCTACAGTGCGAGTTTCTTTCAGCCAAAGCAAGTCCGCAATTGTCGGACTCGTAAAAAAACGATCCATATAAATGGTGTGCCATTTACCAAAATATGGTTCACTCAATTCAGCGATAATAGTCTCGACAGATTTTGAGTCGCCAACATAGGGAACCATGCGTAGTATGTAGCCCGTTTCCGCGTCACATAGCATGTAGACTTTCATACCGTATTTATCGGGCTTATCTTTATTGTAAACTCTGAAGTGCACTCGACCCCTAAATCCACAAGTGCCCTCATCAATCGTCAAGTTTTCATTGGGATAAAAACTGTTCTCACACAAAAAACACAGTTCATCGAAATACGGTCTGAGTTTGAAAAAAGCATCGTATTCTGGATCATTACGTGGTTTATAATTTGAGTTGTCGTTCAAATGAAGACAGCTGTAAATAGCTCTGAATCGGTTCCTATTCATGTGCTTTCTGGCGAATGAAGTTTCTATTATTTCACGAGTTGACCAGTAAGAATCAAAACTTTCTTTTTGAACGAGTGTCATATGAATCACTACGGAAAAAAATGTTTTCAGTTCCTGTTTCGTGACTGGTTTCCATTGATAAAGCATAGTGCCAGGTTTCAGGATACCTTGTCGCGTTTGTTTAGCCTTCATTTGAGCTGCATAACGATTTGTTTCAGTCTTGAGCAATTTCCAAAAAGAATCAGGAAAAAAAATTGAGAAACAATCGAACAGTGACGAATTTTCATCAATCGGGGCTAATACGCGAGATATTTCTTGAAATACTGGATTTTCCGACGGCTGCTGCACTGCTTCGTATGACCATCCATTAGCTTCATCCATTTCCCTGATAGAAGTTGATGCATGTCTGCCGCTGCTGCAGCGGGTAGTCGAGCGCGCCCCTGACCGAACGCGTCCGCCGCGCGATCTCGTTCTGCCTCGAAGTGTAGGTCTCGAGCGACCTCGACTTCGACCCTGTTCTGGTTCAGATACGTTCTTGCTGCGGCTACACCTAACGAGCAACGTCAATGCCCATAAACGCAACAATTATTGCCTTAAACAACGCGATAAAATGAGTGGCTACACTTGAACGGTCAACGCCGTTTCCCGTTGAACGGCATTAAATTTGCCGTTGAACGGCGTTAAATGTTTTTAATGTTCCTTGAATTTCAAGCAAGATGGACGTTGACGCAGCTACTCTATATTTGATGAGTGTAAATTTTTATTATATGAATATATTTTATCATTGCCAAACGAAGAAAAAAAGAATACAAAGAAAAAGAAGATGGTGGATGCTACAGATGCACAGAAAACGTACACTGTGTGCAGGATCTCGAGAAACGTTGTAACTTTTTCGTTACTCCACTCCATCGCAGCCATACGTGTAACCCCGTGGCACTCACAGTGCACAATGAGACAAACGTAGTGTGGCCGCTTCAACGCGATAACGCGTTAATCCTTTGATGTACCGACACTCGAGTTATCGGCAAACGGGAAACGGCATTGTTAATGCCGTTGAAAATTATCGCGTTAATTCGTGGCCACACCTAAATTTAACGTCCATCAACGCGATAATTAACGGCATTTCTCCCTAGTGTGGCCGGGCCATCTCTGACATGTCAGCATCATCATTTTCATGATCTTGGACCGAAACCACCTCATGTAAGTCTTGAATTACCTCTGGAGAGAGAAAACACCAATAAAAATCTAGACTTCGCAAAAAAGGTATATTCGAATAAAAATACAATAATAAAATACAATAATTTACCTTCAATTTGAATTTCCGGGTCTTCCTCAATGTCTGAGTCAACATCATTTACCAAAACATCAAAAATTTCTTTAGAATCGAGACGCCAACTACGTCGAGCGGAAGCCATTTCGCGCCAAAATGCAAGGACGTGCTCTCACGTTGGTGGCGTGGGAGCACTGGCGACGCGCGCTGAAAGATTGCTTGTCCTGCCTCCACCCCGCACCTCCCGTCGGTGATACATACATGTGGGTGTAGCTAAAGAGTCATTCTACACCGGGGTTATACGCCAATCACGCACCGGGAACGTAATTTTTAAACAGACGATAGGAAAGTCAAACCCGTACGGAGTACGTGATCGGCGTCCCGAGTTGATCGACACTGCCCGTACTCAGTACGTGTACGGCTGTTAAAGTGTTAAGGCATCTCTGTCTTCGGGTCTGACTTTAACCTGCATGAACATTTCGGCTATGTCCACGGAGACAGCGATTTTATGGCGGCGAAAACGCATCATGACCCCTGGTAGTGATTGCAGTAGGTCCGGACCCGTGAGCAGGAAGTCGTTCAATGACACCCCCTTTGTTTTGGCTGCGGCATCGTGTACTATTCGAAACTTCTCTGGTTTCATTGGGTTATAGACGTCGAAATGGGCTATCTCAGCGTATCCTTTTTGTACTAGGGAATTCATTTGTTCATCATACTTCCATCAAGTTCCAATTTTATTGCTGTTTCATAATTACCAGGCATCTCGATATCCTTTTTCTTCCAGAGAAGCCCTGTTTCTATGTGCCCGTCTTTTAACTGACGGGTGCTGCTATTTAGTATATCTTCAGCTTTCTTCTCTGGATCGGAGTCTGGTCTTCGCGGATTGATAATGAGAGATTCCAGCACGAAATATTCGCGGAGTTGGTCATCTATAGTAACCTCGCTCTTGTACAGCTCATTGGCCGCGTGGACGCGCTGATACGGGGCTTTAGTGTGTGCCCCGTGTAGCACCCATCCTAATTCTGTGAGCGAGGCAATTGGCTGGTGCGGTGGACCTCCTCGGATTTGAGTGGCTATTAGAAGTCTCCAATTGTCCTGTCCTATTAGGATCCTTGGGTTGCCAGAGTCATATATTAGCTGCTCCTTTAGGTCTTTCAAGTGGTTGCACTTGGCTATGTCTACTGCAAGTACAGTCTGTGGCCCCAAGTTTAGGCTTGCAACCGTGCGTGCTCTGAATGGCACCCTTTTGCTGTGGAGACCGGTGAATCGAGGGTACTGTTCCCGATAGCGGTGATCTTAAACGGGTCCAACCGCCCTGTAGCTCCAATTTGTTTGGCAATCTTTTCATCCATTAGTGAAACAGTTGACCCATCATCCAGCAGGGCGTGTGTGTATACAGCTCCCGCCGGTCCAATTACTCGCACTGGAATTATTTTTAAATAGGCTTGATGCTTTGACACAGCGAATGAGTTAGCTACGGTTTCTTGAGGTTCTTTTTGTTTGACCTCAGTCTTCCCCTTTGTATTGTTATGGAGAAGTCGATTGTGTGTCGCGGTGCATCCTTTTATTCCACACTTATTGGTTTTGCATTTGTGTGTCTGATTTCTATAACTTATACAGCGGAAACATAAATTATTTTGCTTTACGAGTTCCCATCTTTTGTTGGTATCTGCTTCCTTAAATTTTTTACATTCAGATCCGTAGTGGCCCTCCTTTTCGCACACTCTGCATTTCGGAGACGGCTTAGTAGTAGCCGCGTGTGCTCTATGCACTGAACGGTTGCTTTGTGCTTCGTTTATAATTTCTGGAGGCGCAAATGCACTGCAGAAGCGAGCTTGCTTGGTAATAAACTCGCTGAAGCAGCCGAGGTCTGGTCTAGAGTCGTATATTTCGGTGTAGATTCTATACCACTGGGCACGTATAGAGTTTGGCAGTTTGTCGGTGAGGTGTCGTAGCAGCTCTGCGTTGACGAGGTAATGATCTCGCTTTAGGGCTCAAAGAGTGACGACGCTTACCTTCACTTTGCTTGCAAATGTGCAGATGTCTCTGGGCGCTTCTGTACAGCGTGCTAATCCTCGTAACTTCTCGGTTTCTGCTTGCGCGATTGAATCTGGACGCCCAAATTGTAGCTCCAGTTCTCGCATAATCTCATCTGGCTTAGCATGCCCGATGAGTTCTGAACTGACGGTTTCCAAGGCTCTTCCTTGTAGACTTCGTCTTAGTCTAGCAGTGTTTTCAATGTCATTGAAGTAGCCCCGGGTTGTTTCGTAAATGGCACGGAATGAAAGCCACTCGGTATGTGCTCCGCTAAAGCTTGGCAGTGTCATTATAGCTTTCGACGCTGCGAAAGTATGCGACGATAGTGGCGTACTCTCTAACTTTGATTTGTCAGCAAGCGCGGCTATAGCGGATGTGAGCTCCGATATAAATGGACGGAGCCCCATGTCTTCGCTTATGACGGGTTCCTGGCTAGGTTTCTTTGGCATGAGATCCTTGGGTACATCTGCTGGATAGGAATCCTGGTACGTGAGCTCTGATACAATCGGTAGGAGCTCCCTGTCTTCATTAACGGTGGGTTCCTGGCTGAGCTTCTGTGGCATGGGATCCTTTTGTGCATCTTCTGGATAGGAATCCTGGTTCGTGAGCTCCTTTTGGGGCTCACTGAGGTCGACAACGTCCGGGGTTGGCTTTGTGACGGTTTTATTAAATGGGGCCTTCCCTCCGGTGGTTGCGCCTTGATTTGACTTTTGTTTGGCTACAGAATTTTCAAGCCAAGATGGAACGTACTCACTTTTGGAGTGACCATCTTCATCATAGTCGTCTGATTCGTCTTCTTCTTCAGCCATCTGTAAGGAGAACTGCGCAAGTTCTAGTTTGATCTTCAATACTTCTTCACGAGCCTTCAAAATTCTTCTATTGGGCCGAACATTCTTCTTTGTCTTCGTACTGAAATTGGTGTGGCCCGTTGGTGGCTCTTCGGTGTGGGTGTCTTCCCGGGCTGTTGGCGATGATGCACGGCTAAAGTCATCGTCGCCTTCTATATGTTCCCTCTGCTTCGTTGTGTGGGCCGTAATGGCCAGCGTGGGCAGGGGTATCCCCCCTTCGGGGGGGGGGGGAAGCATGGCGCCTCAGCGCCCTCTACCGTTGAAGGTGAGCGTGGTGGCATCTGGTGGTGGACGGCGACGTTACTGGCCGACGAACCTCCTTCCAGACCGACGGTCCACGCCTTGGCTTCCCTTCCTTGCGAACGGGTGATCGGCATCATGAATCAGAAAACACTGTGGTTTTAATACGGTGGTGATTATTTACCCGGTTCCGAAATACAAACGGATATATCCGGCTCGAAGGACCAACGAATGTGCCGGACGGGCGAAACTCTCCGGAGTAAATGTTGTCGAAGATACTTCGCGAGTCGCTCACGTCCTACACCTATAGGTTCCGGTGGGTACTTTCACTGCCGTCTTTGTGGTTGCCGCTGAAATATTGTGGACTGAGGTTGAAATCAAAATGCAACTAATGTCCAGACATAGCTAGCCTGCATACCGTGGCTTCCATGTTGGTAAGCTGCGGAGTAGAAATGGGCGAGCAATGAAGTGTCTTCTTGTAATAGATGGCCGTTCCGCCGCCTCGGCGGTTGGGTCTTTCATTACGAAGAAGAGAGAAGTTTTTAATAGAAAGGCCTTTAGTGTCCTTAGTTTGAGATTAGTTTCCTGTAGGAGGAGGAAATCAGCTTCTCGATTCCGAAGAAAGAGCTTAAGCTCTGGGAGGTTATTTCGCAAACCGCGAATATTAAAGAATACAAGCGATAAACCCTTAGGTTTGATACGACCGTGAGACTTTGGTAGAGCAAACTGCTCTGTCATTGAAGTTAAGTTAATTAAGTTAACTTAACTTACAACGCTAACAGAAGATTATGATGCTCTGTAAGAGCGAGGAGACGTTCCTGAGGGGACTTCGCAGCGCGCAGTTTGCGTGCTACTACAGTGATTTCCCTGACGTCAATGTTCTTAACAGCGGAATACAGTGTTTTATGGTCTTCAGCTGTGGGCTCTGATTCTTGGGGGTAGGAGGTTGTCCGCGGTGGGTCTGCCTTTTTGGGGCCCCAGGGAAA